AGCTACTGGGTGGAGGCCATCGCTATTAGGTTGGAGGCCATCGCTACTAGTAACAAGAAGCTACTAGGCGGAGGCCATCGCTATCAGGCTGGAGGCCATCGCTCAAAGGTTGGAGGCTTCTTCTTTCTGACTCTGGTTTAGCCAATTTCCCAGTCTTGACAGGCTGGAAGGCCTGGAAGCGGTGTGTAGCCAGGTGAGCACGGGATGATTGTATGGGGATTCCCCCAGGGTCTCAGACTTGATAGGTCTGATTTATTGCATTTAGAGGACTATGAAGCCGCACACTGTCTATGTTGGAGCTGGATCTAGACAAGACATTTTGCTTGAACAGTGAGCTAGGCAGGCTCTCCGGCAAGACACTGCATCATGTAACACTTCTTAAAGTGGATCTTCATCTCGCCTCTTTGTCCCTCAGTGCTTTAGTTCAATCAACAACCACCCTCAGAGGCACATCACGATGCCCTCCACAACGTGAAGAAGCCAGGCTGAACAGCGGGTTATGATGTATTCGGATACTGTATAAGTATAAGCATGGGCGGAGTTGTTGTTTCTTTTGTTTCATCTTCATCGGGTTATCTGTTGTGGCTTACTTTTGCTTTTGCTTCTTACAGGTCGAATTGGTTTGGTACCTCTGCTCAAATTTATGCACCCAATTTCTTTCGACCACACGGATTGAACGCTCTGGTTGATTCAGGCACATACACCTTGATGAGCCCTGAGCAACGCATGCAGATGCCTTTGACCCCTGCCCGCAAGATGCCCCATTCACTTGTCAAGAGCATTCTGAGCCACAAATCATTCCGACCCGATTGATTTTTGGAGCACTTGAAGGGCAAGAGCAAGGGCCTACGGCCAACATGACTTGTGGACCTCCGGCATTGAGAAACGACCCAAGGACGATCAAGGCAGTCAGAGAGTGTTTCGGATCTGACGCCCAAGGATGGCTGTGCCACTGGTGCTCACGCACCCGGAGACCCAACGAAAATCTCTCTATGGATTCTCGGCAAGGTCCGAGCCTCACAGACTGGAGCCTCACGCTTGGTCCTCAAAAGGTACCCACCAGCGAGCTGCAAGGAATGAGAGAGGTTCCCCATACCTGAAAACAAGACAAAGAGGACTTGCTCAGTCCGTGCCCAAAGGGGGTTGGTTCATGGGTTTCAGGGGTTCTTTGAGGTCTCTACCAAGTGCCAGGCAAGGGCCAGCGACCCGCCAACGACTCCACGCTCGGGTTCGCCAACGCTCGGGTTCCGGGAGACCGAGGAGCCAACAGCAGCGTCTTTCGGCTTCAGTCGATGAACTCTCCAGCGCCTCCATCCGAGCTGCTGGAGCGAGCTGAGGGTCCTGAGGCACCGCCAGCGGCGGTCGGCGGGAGAGAAGAAGAATTGGTGAACGACCTTCTGGAGCAAGGGACCTGAGTGATTGGCTCTCTTGTGATGCTGGGATGCCAGTCTCTTCAGAGGATTTTGGTCATGAGTGATGGATGACTTATCTGTATTTTCATATTTTGATGCGGCCAAGTTTAAAGCCGACAGCCTGTCGAGCGCCAGGCCTACGAAGATCCTTCTGTGGATGAACTGCGCTCCTTGCTTCCGCATGCCACAGGTCGGCCCGGGCGTGAAAGCCCTGGGAAGGGATGGATTGGACATCGATGACTTCTGGCCAACTTTTCATCATCTTTTCATCACTGCAAGATTCTTGGACAGTCTCCAAAGGATACTTGGACAGCCTGTTGGATTCTGGATGATCCATGACTCAAGAAAAAGACATCCACAATCGACTTCGTGTCAGGGCCAGAACTTGTGATACGTTGGCATTGGGACGTCGGTGACCTGGTCGTTTGGGACAACCGGTGCACTATGCACTGCGCCACAGGACCGCGGAATTGATGTGGAGGTGAAAGATGGGGCTAAAGGGACATGACTTCGCAGTGCACCTTAGGCCAATGGATTTGGAAAAGGGTCGTTGACCTGCTTTGTGCATCATTGATTGTGGAAGCCTAGCACTGTGCCTTCTCTACTACTGAGAAATAATGAAATGCCGTTAGACAGAATGCGAAACTTTCCCGCTCCCTTGCGAAGGAATAGATGATCAGTTTCCACCCCACGAGCAACTCCACCAAAATCCTCTTTGCCAGACCTCGCTTCATCGACCAAGTGGCTAGTGAAAAATGCAAGTAGTTCTCTAGATCCCTTAGAGCACAGTGCAATCAATGGATTCCTGTCAGACCCTCACAGGATTTGACCACCAGACCTTTGTGCGGGAGATGTGGCGAACTACCTTTCATGACATGTCTTGGCAGCCACCTGTGCGCCAACTGTCACGCGAGTGATTAAAAGCGTTGAGGGTGTGACTCACTTTGCCAACAGACGAGCCTGAGGGAACCTCACAAAGAGTGATGGTCGTTTCTCTTTTTTGGGAACGCTCGCTGGAAGACCACCAGGCGAACTGCATCGCTTTTCCGACTGCTAAGGTCCAACAAAACTTTCGTTGAGGAGCTTGGGTTGAAAAACATCATAGGTTTTGTTGGCAAGTTGGTTTTGAGTTTGACCAGCCTACAAAGGTGCTCAGGGTAACGACTTGAAGGCCATGAATGAAGAGCGCCACCGTCTTGAGTCTGCTGAGACTCCAATGTCTGTTGGTCAGTTCAATTCCTCTTTCCTTGCAACTGACTGTCGGAGCAGCTGCACAGTTGATCTACTATGTAACCTGACAACCAACCAGAGCCTTCCATTCGCTGAACATGTTATCGCCAGGTCAAGTATTTGCGTAGCACCTGTGCGCCACAGTACTCCTGAAGATAAGCCAAATCAAGTCATCCAAAGCAATTGAGGGTTACAACTGCAGCCAACATAGAAGCTGTTTGTTTGTTGTCGAAGCTATTCTTTGAGCCTTCCAGGATGGCCTGATCCGCTTGGGCTTCGGCGCACAGCCGACAAGCCTCATGCGAGCCCCTCAATGAGTAAAGTGTACAGTAGAGCATATGAGCATATGAGCATAGCGCGTATTGTCTTTTGCTTTGTGAGGGGACACTTGCATCGGACATGGCAGCTTGAGACGTTGTGCCTTTCTCTTGTGCGGGAATTTGCCTCTCATGTCATAAATTGAAAGTGATGATAGGTCATTGGTAGTACAAGCAAACATTGCGGTTTCTGTAGGGTTTGTTGGTGGCCAACAGAGAGCATTGCAATGTGTTGATTGCTATCCAACTTCGACGAGGAAAACACTATTGTGCCTTTCCGTCTCCTGAACATGAACTGTTTGCTAAGTGCAATAACGAGAAACACGATGATGCTAAGGGCGTTTAGATTCTAACAGAGTTGGAACGCAATGAATGAATCTTCTGGATGGAGAGGCCCTCTCAGGAAACAAAAGCCGCCATAGCCTTGTAAAACCTATATATGATATATTGCCAAGCATCGTGTTCTGATGCACACGATGCCATGTCCCTTCAAGCAATGTCAGCGGATGCGATCATCTTGCCAAGGTCCGTCCATGTGAGTTCAGCTTCCTTAGCCTTGCTACCAAAGGACGGGACTCCGTGGACTGCTTTTGATCTGTGCATGTCAAGGAGGTTGAAGGTTGATTTTGTTGGACAACCCACAAGCCTGGTTCAACCGCCAGAAATGCCATGTTTGATTTCGGTCCTAGCCTACTCCAAACCTCTCATCTAGTTGAGAGTCATCCGGTCAAAATGCCAGCGAGCGGACTGTGAGTAACCGAGGCTTTCAACCAATTCTTGGAGCCAATGCAGCCAAACACATGTCTTTCGGTTGACTTGCGAATCCTTTGCACAAGACCTGCTAAATGCCTAAAGGTGAGTCTAGTTTTCAGGCGTGTTCAGGGGCAAGTGCAGTGCTTCTGGAAGTACTAGCAAGTGGATGGCACCGCCCCGCCTGTTTGGAATTCGGAAGATGGTCTTCCTGTCGAGGCTCTGCCATCCCCGTAATCATGATTCCAGGAAGTGTATCCTTTGACTAAAGAAGCTATTAGAAACAAGTGCCACGCTAGTAGTAACAGGTGCCTTACTAGTAGTAACAAAGAAGCTATTAGCATTTACTTCCTTCACTTGGGAGTCTCCAGGGGCGACCCGGACAAGACCCGGAATGTTCGGCCCACAGGAGCGCCAGCGCAGCTATGGGCCGTTGCAGGTCTTTCGAAGCGAATGGTCTGAAGCTATTCATTCTCTTTAAGGACTACATACATGCCCTTGACCTTTTTCTCTGTGTGATGAGGTGTAATGATGTTCCTGAGTAAACATTCAAGGGAATGTTGATATATAGTTGATACCGACAAACTGAAGAAGCTCTTTTTGTGAAGCTTGCAGGGGCCCACAGAGGCCCCATATGGCTCAGTGATCTCTGTGGTCTCAGCACCCTACCGCCTGGCCAGTCTCAGCTGGTCTTCACTGGCGTGGAGTTCGCCGGCGCCGGGCGGTACGATCCACCACAGCCTGCGATGGGTGGAGGGTCCAGGCTGTGGGTGTTTGCCAACTGGTTGGACCCGGCTGCTCGGCCCGGGCAGAGAAAGAGTGAGAAAATAGGCAAACAATCTTGTAGAACTCACACCACAGGTATAGGCTGGGTATAGGCTAACTGAAATACCCATCGAACGACCACTTTTTGGTCTGGGCTGGGTGGCTCGAGCTTCAAGTTTCACAGCCTTGTCGCTGGCGAGGCGGCGAGACGTTTGAGCATTTCAGGATTCTGTCAAGTCCGGTGTCGCTCCCGGCCGCACGATTCACGGAAGGCACCATGTTTTCATACAAAAGGGTTCAGTGATCAGAGTCGCAGCAGGCAACACTTCATCAGAAAGTCTTTGACCATGTAGCAAATTTCCCACACAGGGCTGCGGCCATACAAAGTCACCAGATGTTGCTCCAATTCGACGTAAAGCAAGTGCGAAGTCAGTAGTTGTTATTGCGATATAAGTCTGGATGCACTAGAACGAACGAGAAAGGCATGCAACATGCAAACACCCTCTACATGAAGCCACGCATCAACCATGAAATGCCTATTGGACCAGCCGCAATCTACTTGGACCAGCGAGATTCTCCGCGAGATGGTGCGGATTCTCCTTTGTGGCGATGTCCGTGGTGACGTTCCGAAGGTCTGTGCCTTGGCGGACGAAGCGCCGCATGGATGGGGCGGATCGCTGGATGGACGGCTGGAAGGGTGGGTGGGATTGGATACAGGAGGAACTGAAGAGGCCTATGACTTTACTAGACCTTTGCAAGTTCTGAACTTGAGGGTCCACGATTGTGGTTCGTTCACTTTATTGGGTTCCCCAAAGAAAAATTGATGCGGCTGGTACTTCCAGGGTTTGGTCATGCCGTTGGCAGCATGAGGACCCAGTGATTTAGGAACCAGCTTTTATTCTATCCCTTGATGCTTCAATCTGAAAGACTCGCTTGGAGAGACCATCAGCCCATAGCCCCGTTCTTTGCACAATGATGCTTTCCACTTTGAATGGTTTTCTCCATGATGAAGGATCAATTGCTGTGTACACGGAGGGCACCATTCAGTGCTTCCACTTCCAAGAATTGGGTTGCATGCAGGAATGCTCGGGCACCTTCCAAGGCAAAACGGTCGAAGCTTTACAGCGAAAGCTACCTGAGGCCCGGACATTGTTTGTGGGTTGGTTCGAGGGTTCAAGAAGAGTTTGTCAGTGAGAGATTCGAGTTAACATGTCATGACATACCCCGCATGAGCTGTTTGCCGCCTTCGTTCGAACACTGAACACCCGAACCGCAGGGTGGGTCCGAGCCTTAGGAAAAAGGTGCGCCTTCGCACATTCGTCGTGCATGGTCATTCGCCACCGGTCGGCGACAATCGAGAAGTGTACCATCGAGTTTGGTTGTTAGCATTGTGCATTGGTCACATTGGTTGAGTTGATTGGGGTGCTACCTCCCGCATGGTAGCGGAGCCCCTGGGGGCTCCAGGGGCTGGATGACTACAACGGCTGCTGGTGTGCCGTGCTGGGACGGCAATGCTTCGACCTTTGATACATTTGTTGTTGCGTGCAAGTGGTTTCAAAAGTCACTGAAGCCTTCAGAGCGATCCCAAGCAGCACCGAAGATCTGGCAGTCACTGTCGGGCGCTGCTCGCAGCGTCGTCAAGCACCTCGACCCCGATGACTACACAGATGACGACGGGATGACCCGTCTTCTGAATGTGTTGAGAGCGAGTCCACTCCAGCAACTTCCAATTCCTGACAGCTTTGGCAAACTGGAGCGTTGGCACCACCTCCGCAAAGGTCCCAACGAAACAATGGCTCAGCTCATTGTCAAGGAAGAAGAGATGTTCCAAGACCTTCAACAAAGCCTGGTGAGAGCAAGGGCCGACAGAGCCCTTAGCCATGTCGTGACACCTGGACCTGCCAGGATGGATCCTCCATCCACTCCGTCTCAATCCCCGGTCGCTGGAGCTCAGAGGCGCGCGTCCGAACAGCGAGAGTTTCCACCGGATACGGCACCGACCGTTACATTGGGCAGTGGTGGTGGTTCTGGGTCGAACACGTTGGCCAATTTTTTTGAGGACGAACTACGTGGATACAGGTTGATGAAGGCTGCAAAACTCAGTCAAAGCGAGCGGCAAGCAGTTTTGGTTCAGACACAAAACAGCACCCACTACTATGCCATCCGTCAAGCTCTGCGAACTCTGTATGCTGAGGAAAGTGAGCGATCTCAGCTTCATGATCGTGGCCGCAGTGCAAAAGCTTGGTGGGCTAATGGTGAGTGGGAGCCCGAGCAAGAGGAGTTGGAGCTGGACTGGAACGAGTGGAGTCCCACTTCGTGGGATCAATGGGAAGATGAGCCCAATAGCTTCTGGTATGATGGATGGGAAGAAGATGAATGGGGCTACGATGACTCTTGGTGGCCCAATGAAGAAGAGCTGAATCCCATCGAGGAGAGTGAGATTCCTGAGGAGCGTCAATACCAAGAGGCCTTCGCCCTTGCAAACGAGGCAGCTCGGACTTTGGAGGAAGCCCGCAATGCAGTGAAGCAAGTTCGCGCTGCCCGTGGCTACTACTCGCCAGAGTCGAGCAGTGGCAAGGGCATCAGTGGCAACAAAGGCAAAAGCAAGCCGTCTTCTGGACCTGGCTCAGGCAAAGGGAAGACATCGAGCAACAAAGGATCCCTCGGACCATGTTTTCTATGCGGTCGCCCTGGACATAGCTATCGCCAATGCCCTGACCGATTCTCCAAAGGAGGAAAAGGATTCGGCAAAGGCAAGAGCAAGTCTGGCAAAGGTGGAAAATCACCGAAAGGCAAGGGTGGCAAAGCATTTTTCACGGAGCTCTACGTGAATGTTCGCTGGGACGAATTTCCCCAACGGTCTCGAAGCTCAACAAGAGCAGTCATCGACACTGGAGCGACGGAAACCGCTGTGGGCATTTCGTGTTTGGAAGAGATGGTGAGCAGTGGGCATTTTGTTCATGAAGTTTCCCATGACAGCCTTCCAGTGTTCAGATTTGCCAATGGACACAAGAGCAAAGCATTGAGCAATGTTGTGCTGCGCAATACATCGCTGGGTGCTCTCAATTTTTACGTGCTAGGAGATTTGGGGGCAACCACGCCGCCACTGTTGGGAGCCAAGACATTGCGAGCAAAGAGAGCATTGCTGTCGTATTCGAACGGTTTGTTTTTGTTTGCCCCGGAACCATCTGAACCCGGGACAACTTGCAGTGGAAACATTGTGAATGCAGTGCAAATGGAAGCTTTGAGCTCGGGTCACCTCACTATTGATTTGGCATCCCCACCATTTCAAGTTGAATCAGAGATTGATTTGAATGTTTTTTGGAAGTTGAGCGAGCAGTTGCCTCCCGTGAGTTCGACCACCACAGTTCAGAGTTTGTTCGTGATGCATTCACCTCTCAAGCTCTCCGATCGTTTGGAGAACTTGGCTCAAAGGCTGTCAGCAACTCGTGAACGGCATGGCCTCGAGCAAGGCCGCAGCAGCGATCGACGACCCAAGACAGAGCGGCTTTCCATGCTACGGCCAGCACAAGGGCAAGACGAGGCAGAACCAATATGCCACTTGGGTGGTGTGCCTCAAGTGTGGGATTCGCCTGGAGTACCAGACGAAGAAAGCCGGCCACGGCGGCACGAGGCAGATGGGTCCAGACCCGCAGATCATTCGGCTGGCACTGGCCGACATCGACAAGAGCATGGAAGCCAGCGAGGTCACGATGGACGTGGTGAATGGCAAGATGATGGAGATCAAAGGCAAGATGCTTCAGATGGGCATCCCAACGCCCCTCCAGCTGAACATGACCTTGGACGAGTACCACCAGAGGCTGGAGAAGTTTGGCCGAATGGATGGAGTGCCAATGACTCCAAACCAAGGCTCCATCAAGTGCGGCCCGATCGAGCCCGAGCGAGGTTCCATCAAGTCCGGAACCCAAGAAGGCCAGCCAGAAGAAGGGCGTTCCGCCCGAAGGCCCTTTGGAGAAGGAGATCAAGGAGATGGCAATCAAGGGCTATCTGGCCGCCAAGAAGGAGAAGGAGCTGGATGTCACGAAGGGCAAGCCACAGATGATTCCGGATGGCCCGGAAGTGGTGATGATCCACTCGGAGGAGGAAGAGTGGGAAGCCCCGACGGAGAAGGGCAAGGCATCTGGCGATCCCTGAAGGGCTTGCGAGAAAGGCTGACCAGGCTGCAGAGTCGTGGCCTTGGAGCTGGTATGGGCTCCGAAAGCGGTTCAGCAGCAGCGGAAGGCAGCACGGCAAAGACCTCACTCGGTCTCAATCCACAGCAGGATGCAAGCATCCACACGAACAGCACCACGTGTCACCACGGCAACACGGCGTGCACCACGTGCTCAACGAGCAACACGACACACACCACGAACCTGATGGCTGAACCCAGCCATATCCCTCTCTGGGACACGCACGGGCACCCACGGAGAGTTGGAGCACAAGCCCAACGGCATGGGCCTACAACAAGAGCCAGACAAGCAGCAAGAACATAGTGCCTCCATCTCTGGCCAAGAAGATGTCCATCAAGGCAGCCATCCTCGGGGCGATGATTATGGCCCCAATGCAGTCCCTGTTCACTCAGATGGCCGGAACGGTGGACTTCATGGAAGTGGCATGCTCAGCCACGAGTGCACTCAGCACTGAGATGGAAGCAAATGGCTACTCGATCCAGAGAGTGAACTATCTGGAGGGCTTCGACCTTGACAAGAAGTCTGGCACAGAGAAGCTGACCACCAGCATGAAACAACTGAAGCCCAAGATGACATGGGTGAGCCTCCCATGCACCAGGTTGTCATCCCTCACTCACCTCACTTCTCGCACTCCTGAGGAACAAGCAAACTTCGAAAAGCGGCAGCAGCGTGATCTCAAGCGCGCTGATGAGGTGAGCCAGGCAATATGCCAGACCCTGGATGACGAGAACGACTTCGCCTGGGAATGGCCCACCGGAGCAGCAAAGGGATGGAGATCAAGGGCGATCAAACGCCTTGAAGACAAGATGAAGGCCATTGGAAGACCATTGTTTTGGTGCCGACTCCACGGCTGCGCATACGGCCTCACCTTCAATGGCATCCCAGTGAGGAAGGGCTGGACAGTCATGACGTCCAATCGAGGCCTATGGTTGGCCCTTCAGAAGAAATGTCCAGGTCACCCTGAACACCTGGAGTGCCGTGGGCACGTCGCTCAGGCAAGTTCCTACTACCCCACAGCCATGGTGAAAGCGGCTGTGAAGGCCATCATCGGCACATGGACGGCCTATGAAGACAAGGCCAATGTCTCCCTTTCCAAGGACGTGCAAGTCCATCTCCTGGGAGTTGATGAAGATGAATCCCAACAAAGCTGGGAAGGTCAAGCAAGACGAGATGAGCCTTCCATCCTGGCCCTGACGAGACAGTGCTATCCTGAAGAAAGGCCCACAGGCAAAAGATTGGAGCAAATCAAGCAGACCATGCTCCGCATCCACCGAGCATCAGGTCATCCCTCCATGGCAAACTTGCAGCAGCCCGCAACGCCCCTCCTTGGGCAGTGGCCTTAGCAGGTGAACTCCGGTGCAGTGAATGCATCGAAGCAAAGAAGCCCCGGCCAGCTCCGCCTGCAAGCACAGGTGAACTTCCAGCTCTGTTCGAGCAAGTCGGGACGGACGTTTTTGAAGTGGAGTTCAACCACCATGAATCCCAAGAAGCTCAAAAGGCCAAGTTCATTCTGTGGCGGGACAGAGCAAGCGGCCTGGCCCAAGTCGACCTGGCAAGTTCGCAATTGGGAGCCCCTAGGCATCAGATGTCCTGAAGTCCTTTGGCAAATGGCTCCAACACAACCCAATGCCAAAGTGGATCATTTCAGATCCGGTGACGTACTAGACGTCCTCTGAGGTGATCGACTTCATGGGCCGAAGCGGCATTGGGCTGATGAATACCCCTGCAGAAGCACACTGGTTGCTTGGAGCTGAAGAAGGCTGCATTGGCCTCCTGAAGGCCACATTGTCTCGCTTGAAGAAAGAGACACCAGCCCTCGATATTGAGGCCTTGATGGACCTTTCCGTCCATGCCCACAACAAGACAACTGGCCCCAATGGATTCAGCCCATTCCAATGGACCAGGAGAGCCGATCCACCAGAAGAAGCTCTCCCAGTTGGCATGGACCCCAAGAAAGCCTTCGAAGGAATGCTCAAGCTGAAGGCGCGAGCCAAAGCAGCATTCGAGCTCGAGTCCGCAAAGACCCGCATGAGCAAGCTTTCAAATGCCACCACAAGGCCTCCTGCCAAGTACAACTCTGGTGCTTTGGTGATGGTTTGGCGGCAGAAGATGCGTCCGGGACGCGTGGGTGGCAACTGGATGGGTCCTTTGCGAGTGCTCATCCAAGAAGGCACAACTGTTTGGATGGCCACCGGATCCAACATCGTCAAGGCCAAGACAAACCAAGTTAGAGCGATCACCAAGAGGGAAGAACTGCAAGCTTCGCTCGAAGGGACAGCCATCCTTCGAATGCCAGTGACACTTGAGTCCCTTCTAAGAGATTTCACTGGCAAGCACTACACCAACATCTGCGGCGAAGCACCCTCAGAGCAGCAGCAAACAGATGTTGCCGGAACCACGGTGATCCTCGAGCCAGCGAAGAACCAGCCAGACACATGGCGCATCGAGCCAGGCGAGTGGCTCATTCGTGTGCATAATGCACCAAGGCTGGCAATGTTTTCCCCAGCACGGGTGACATCATCACCCATCGATGAGGCTCAACTGACCGGCAAGAGGAAGACGCACATGAAGGCCCTCATCGAAGGATCCTCCCAAGTCCTGATTGAAGATGACTATAAAGAGTCAGAGGATCCCCACCGATTGCTCCAAGAACGGTGGACAGGGGAAACTTGGTTTGAGATTTCATCTGCTCAAGCAAGCAGTGGCCCGCAGAAGAGGGCACCAAAATTAGGTGCAAGCAAAGCCGTGAAGAAGAAGGCCAAGGCCACACCTCTCGAGGGAGAGGACACGGCAGCTAATGAGACAACAGGATCGGGAGCAGTCATCCCCATGCCTGATGAAAGCCTGCAAGAGGCTCTTCGTGAACGTGGTCCGGATGCAGTTGATGGCATCCCTGGCAATCCAGTAAGCGGACCTGCAGACCATTCTGGAAACCATTGTAAAGTCCAGAACTGCCAGCTCCCCGGAGGTCATGAAGGACCACACCAGGACCCGAACCAAAAGCGGTTCACATGGGACCCGTACAACGGACGGGTCGATGAAGAGGTTTCTTCGTCAAGTTCGAGCTCTTCCTCGAGCTCATCCTCTTCAGAAGAAGAAATGGCCCCTGACCGTGAAATGAAAAGAAGAAAGAAGGACAAGGACAAGAACCAGGCTGAAGAGGAAGACCTAGCGGTCTATGCGCTTGAAATTGAGGTGACGCCCAAAGAAGCGCAATGGCTGGCCAATCATCCCAACAGGGCCACCGCCTGGATGTCCAAGAAGGTCCAAGAAAAGAGCAAAGAAAAGCTCTGGTCAAAGTTGACCATGGAAGAAAAGAAAGGATTCGATGAAGCGCAGTGCAAAGATTCCCAAGTTCTCCAGTCAAAGGCTCTGCGATGCCTCACTGAGCAGGAGCACCTGAGCTTGAATCCCGCATCAGTGATGAAGATGCGCTGGGTCTTAACGACCAAATCAGATGGGTCTCCAAAGGCCCGATTGGTGGTCTTAGGCTACCAGGCACCGAATTTGACCCCGGCGGCATCACCAACCATGTCGCGCCTCTCCAGGAACATGATCTTGGCGGCGTGCGCCAACCTGGGACTCCGCATCCGCGGAGGAGATGCCACGTCGGCTTTCCTTCAGGCCGACCAGTGCATGGAGAACCAACAGTTGACCATCTGGGCGCCAGCAGAGCTTGCAGTGCTTTTTGGAGCACCTCCTGAGAACCCCATCATGCCCTTGAGAATCCGGCGAGCATTCTATGGACTGGTACATGCACCCAGAGCATGGTTTGACCACCTCACCGGCACTCTCCGCCGAATCGGTTGGCGACAGGTGAAGAGCGACAAATGCCTCTTTGTCCTCACCGACGACTCGCCAGAGAAGAACGTGATCTCCATTGCAGGGATCCACGTGGATGATGTGCTCATCGGAGGAAAAGATGGCCATGAAAAGTTTGAACGATGCTTCAAAGAACTGGTAGAGGCCTACCGATGGGGCAAGTGGGAGCATGATGATTTCAAGTTCACTGGCTGCAGGATCAAGCAGTCGAAAGACTTCCAAATCCGGGTGGACCAACAGGAGTACACCGACAAATGGATTGAAGAGATCCATCTTGATGCAGCCCGGATGCAACAAAGGAAGTCAGCAGCCACGGCCAATGAAGTGTCCATGCTGAGAGGTGCAATTGGCACCATAGCTTGGCGAGCCTCCCAGACCTCGCCGCAATACCTCGCTGACGCAGGCCTTCTGCTTTCAGAACTGCCATGGGCCACAGTCGAGACGGTCCACAAGACCAACAAGCTCATCCGCGAGATGAAGCGCGAAGCGAGCCAGTCATTGGTCTTTCACCCCTGGCACGTTCCCTGGCAGCAAGTGGCAGTGCTAGCATGGGCCGATGCCGGCCAAAAGAACAGGCCCGACTCCTCAAGCACCATGGGGATAGTGGGCGGCCTTGCACCAGCTGGAATTCTCCAAGGTGAAGAACATGGTGTGTCTTTGATACACTGGCGTTCCAGCAAGACCCCACGACAGGTCATGGGCTCCAACGGAGCCGAGGTGCAGTCAGTCACCGCGGCCGAAGACTTCGTGTTCCACACCAGAGCCATGTGGTGTGAAGTCCACGGCCAGACGTTTGAGAAAAAGGAGGACCTGTACCAGATGGTACGAGGAATGTCGCAAGGAGCGGTGATCATGGACACCCGAGGAATCTACGACGCTGCAACCCGGAATGTCTCAAGCCTCCACGGACTTCGATCCTCCCGAGCAGGCTACGAGCTGACGATCAGTGTCGATCAGGCACGCTCCATCGGAACCCAATTCCGTTCTGTACACGGAGGTGTACAACTGGCTGACAGCCTAACGAAGTGGGCTTGCAGGAAGGTGTTGTTGACCTTTTTAGCCCACGGGCAGCGCTGGAAGCTTGTGCACGATCCAAGCTTTGAGTCGTGCAGGAAGGTGCGCAAGAAGGAGCTGGAGAAGCAGATTCGAGAGCAAGAAGAATCCTTTTTCACGGCAATCGCCATTTTGGCTGAACAGAGCCGATGGCCATTTGAAAGTGGCAAACAACTCAGGAATGGGGGTGATGAGAGATTCGAGTTAACATGTCATGACATACCCCGCATGAGCTGTTTGCCGCCTTCGTTCGAACACTGAACACCCGAACCGCAGGGTGGGTCCGAGCCTTAGGAAAAAGGTGCGCCTTCGCACACTCGTCGTGCATGGTCATTCGCCACCGGTCGGCGACAATCGAGAAGTGTACCATCGAGTTTGGTTGTTAGCATTGTGCATTGGTCACATTGGTTGAGTTGATTGGGGTGCTACCTCCCGCACTCAGGAAAGGGAGGCCATCGCTAGTAGGTTGGAGGCCATGGCCAGTAGGTTGGACATTGGTGTGATGTTGATCGATGATCTCTAGAGATCTGCCTGTTGTGGCGGCCACCTGCGGCATACCTGCGACACTTCCAACGAAGAAAACGAAGGTGAGATGCGACCTCTGGCAGGACCAGCGCTTTCAGGCCGTCTTCTGTGTTGGTGAATTCAGCTCTGAGGAGATGGACCTAGAGGAGAACCTTGGATGAGGAAGCTTTGATAGACTGCGGGAACCTGCAACGGCGACCTCCATCGACCTCCCTAGAGAGTGAGCAATCCTCCAAAGTTCATGCTGATTCGCAGCAGGGCTTCTTTAGCTTGCCAAAGAAAATCAAAGACCACAAAAAACATGAATCCATTCGCTTGAGATCCCTACATGGATGTTGCAGCTTGTTATATAAATGTGTCCTAGCAATGTTGACTCATAGTATGGTGAGGAATGCTGGTTCTTTCAATGCTTCCCGCTCGATGCCCTCCTTGAGGAAACCCTGTGTTCCCGTCTATTTCATTGACTGTGGGCCTGCATGCCAGGAGAGGAAGAACACGGTGTGAACTGAACATTCGTTGCTTCATTCGATTTCCATTTTTCTTTGCATTCGCTTGTTCGGCTTTCCGAATGCACATGCTTTGCATAATGCTTCTGCACACTTTTGCGGCAAGCCAACTTGCACCAGGACCTCATTGATGAATCACCTCAAGGCACTGAGCGGAACAACGGTACGCGGTTCTCACTATTTTGCCTTGGAAGAACCGTTGATGGTCCGCTTAACTTCGTCACTCTACAGGGTCCAGGATCCAACGAAAGCACACCTCCGGGGTGTGAACCTCCAACGGGGAATGTTTGGGCGAACGACGTCGCCCGTTGTGTTCGCCCTTTCAGTCGAAGCTTGGCCTTTCAGTTGATGGTAACGTAATAGCAATGGCCTCCAACCTAAGGGCGATGGCCTCCAACCAAAGAGCGATGGCCCTCCAACCTTAGGGTGATGATGGCCTCCAAGTGTCTTTCGCCAGGTGACGAGGTGGCACCGAATGTGCACTTCTTGGGCCACTACGGTGTGGCCTCTGTGGTGGGCCTCAAGGCCGGAGCCGATGAGCGCTGAGATCTCGGTGGTGGGCGATCGGTTCATTCGGGCGACCGACAGACACGATCGGTGGGGAGGATAGGAGTCGTTGCAACAACGCTCGTGACAGCAGACGTCTGTAGCCAGTGAAGCGATTGGTTCGATTTGGGCAGGAAAGTCAATGCGGCGCAAAAAGCCAGCTTGAAGCATTGAATCACGGACGTGCAACAGTTCCAATCAGGATCTGTCATAAGGTTTTTTGAGTATTTTGGACTCATACCCTCAAACAAGCATTGAACGGCATATACTCACGAACTTGTTGCTGCCATGCTGCTCTAGCTGTTGAGCATAGAAATGGAAAGAGTCAAGGACAGCCATGCGGAGGGTCAACACCAACATGCTCAATGACATGCAGGGTTGATGATTGAATCAGCAGATTCTCAACGCGACCTTGTACGAAGCAAATGAGAAGCGACGAACTGCGCTCCTGGACACAAAATCCAGGCTAAGTTGAGTTCCTGGTCGCTTGTGATTGGAAAACTATGAACAACTGCGAACCCCCAGCTTCAGGACACTTTGATCTTGCCAAAAAGCCTAGAGAGCGCTCAGCCGGACCGACGATCTCTGATGGTTCTCAGTGTGATCTGCGCGTGGCTGCGAAATGACCTTCGAGTTCACGACTCTCCTGTGTCTTGGTCGGTGGGCAAAGTGACAGTGTAAGTAGCTATCGATTGTTTAGTCAGACATCAACAGAAGATTCAGAACAAAAAGCACTCCAGTTTTGTAAACACTTTCTGCTACACATCGACATGTTTGAGCTGCAAATCCTTGAGCAAGGTCCTAAGCCGTGCCGCCCAGCTGGCCAAAGAGCAGAAGCTGCCTGTGTTGCCTGTCACCTGCAGCAAATCCAGATGGGTACCGGTGGTTTGCAGCTGTTCACTCTTGTTGCAACATTTGGCAGGTACCCCTTCCATTTCAGTAGGGACTTGCCAATTCATTGATTCTTTTCGATATTGAGCTTATAAGGACCTGCAAGGTGCCCTGCACCAAGCACTCATCAGCTTTCGGTTTGTAGAGGTGCAAAAACTCCCCTGTCCATGGGGATGTTGAATGAACACCGCGTTCACGCTCATATGACTTTCTGATCCATAGGTATCCAAGTTTGAGAAAGCTCTTTTCTGAGGTATACTTTTTGGATCCTCGTCAGTTCCAGTCCACCAAGTTTGGCACGCTGAAAACGGGTGCCTTCCGTGCTCTCTTCCTCCTGCAATCGGTGCGGGTCTTGAAGCGGCGGCTGCGAGCAATAGGCGCTGGGATTTATCGCTCGGTCAATTTCGAGTGATGGAGCCGGAGCCCTGTGGGATTTTCTCGAGATCCTTTTGGTTGGCCCAATTTCTCTGATGGGCACGCTTTTGGTTGGCCTAAGTTTCTTCCTTAGAGTAGTGACAATCTAGCCAAACTGGAAAATGGGGTTCATGCAACAGCCGGCTTAATAGGTGTAGGTACCAATCTGTTTATCAAGGGAAGTGCGATGATGTAAGGCTGTAAGGCCCAAAGCCCTACCAAATAATTCGGACAGATATGTGTGGCTCATTGAACCCTCAAAGTCATTGTAGAAGGGAGGACAGATGGTCCCCATGTGGTCCCCATGTGGTCCATCGGTCTTGCACACTCGGTCCACGATCCTTGCAAACTTGCAGGAACGTATGGAAGAGGTTCCAGGTCATCGACTTTTGTGATTGTCTTCTTTGCATCTCACAGTCTTCCTGCTGTCAGGCTCTGACCTCTTGATACAGGTTGGAAAGCCGGAGGCGGGGCCGTGGGGTGTTGTTGAGGACTTCACAATGTGGAGTGTTGTCTTAGCTGGATTCCGTCATCCACAAACCAGTTCAATCCTAAGAGAGGGGCTTCTTTGCAATGAGGCTGTCACAAGGGAAACTGGGCTCATGATACGTAGCTGGATAATCTGTTTAAAGTTATGCTGGGTCAAGCACTCTTCCAAGCAGAATGTCATTTCGGGAAGGCAATTCCCCAACCATGATCGGCGTCATTTGACCTGAGTGCAGGAGCTTTTGCCCAAACTCCTTGCTGAGAAGTCCATTGTACTGACACAGGCACGGCAAGCGCTGGTCTACGAATGGCGCTTCCAGAATTCCACTTCATTGGGGTAGTGAGCAGGTGTGGGTTTGGGTGAAGTGCTGGGGTGGAACAACGGTTTGCTTGCAATTGTGAAATCACCAGAGAGAAGGACTGAATATTATATAGAAGCGTTCATGGAGCATTTAGCCATACAGTCGTCACGTGCACGAATGACAGTGCAGATGAGGCAGTGAGCAATCCATCAGATATACAAATCAGGCAAAAAGATGGGCTTATTTTTAGGGCTCCACTCTGACTAGCATGGAAGGGGATGGCATGGAGGTGCCATCCACTTCCAAACCGCGCTGTTTGGAGAGTTCATCCCGGCAGTGTTTGGCTTGTGTGGCGCGAAGGAAGAGGTGACCTCTGAAGAGCTCAGGGTGGATGATGCGTTGCGGCAAGCGCTACAGCAAAAGGGCTGTGAGGCGGCAAGCTTTTCAGCCTCGAGGTTCAGTAAAGAGGAAGACTCAAATGCAACAAGAAGCTACTAGGGGCTCCTGGCCTTACTACTAGGAGCAAGGACGCTACTAGGGGCTCCTGGCATCGCTACTAGTAGCATTCTTACTATGTAAAGGAAAACACAACTGCATGGGATTCCAGCACTTGAACTTCATCGACTGCAGAGATACGAGCTGCGAAATCGGAGCAAGCACATTTCTCCGAGGCTGAAGATAGTGCATGAAGGCCAGTGTTCCTGGCCATCGCACATCACCAAGTCATTATGTAGAAGAACTTCATGCTCCTGAACTCCTCTGTGCTTTGCCAGGCCTTTGAGTACTGTTGGGGCAGTACCCTCTTTCACAAGGATGACTTGCCCTACCAGAAGGACTGAAGCCAACACCTGATTCCTTTGATGCTTCTTGATCTTCTTGTTTGTTTCCGTGCTGGTGAAAGATGGCAGAAACCGACAAATTTTTGTTGGCATCTGGACAAGTTGCCCTGTTTTGGTCGCTAAAGGATGGGGAGTTTGCAACAGACAGATCACCGGCGTTGGCCTTCGAGGACTTGAGGGACGCTCCGGATGTTTTTACGACCTTCAAGAACCAGGTGAGCAAGCTTTGCATTTTCAGATTTTGTAAATCTGGCTTCTAAATAGCTTCAATTATTTCACCATTGTTGTCTGCACCGAGAGTTGTTCCACAGCTGCCATGAAGGAAAAGCAAAGGTTATTTTCTCTTCCCGCGTCCTTGTCCTTCACTTCATACAAGAGACTCTCTTCCTAACGCCTGATCTTCTAAGTGCGAGTTAAAGCCCGTCCTGCAGCAGCAAGGATGAACCAGGTCATTGAGATTCCAGACATGTTGTTTTGGTGTTAGCGCCAGACATTCCACACATTTCACGCGAGGTGGAGCCTGAAATGGCTGCAAGAGTCAACGAGGCCCGGACACTTCGCCGCATGCCAGAGCAGTGGGGAATCTTTGATGTCTTTCTGTCAAAGATCCTTAAGTTTTGGATACCATGCGGCCTTGGCAACGTGGTTCAAGAGCCATCAAGACTCAGTGCCTCCTGATCAGGTTCCAGAGACCTTTCGTGGTGGCCGAAAAAGCCGCAGCTCCATGGGAGTCAGGCGTGCGCGTTCCTTTTTTTCCATGGAACACATCGGTGTCGAAAGACCGAAGATGTGCTTGGTGTTCGTTGTTTGTGCTACCCAGTGTGTGCTAGTCAGCTAGTTACCTGAAGCCTGAAGCAACTCACCGGTCCCAGTGTGGACGGCCAACTCTTCAGACTTCGTTCTGTGTGAGGCCCTGTTTGCCGGAACTGACAGCTGGCAGCCTACCGTTCCCTGAAACCGGAGCGGCCCTGGACTTTGAGCTGGTCTTTGAACCGGAGTGGAAGGACCAAGGGCAAGAAAGAGGATGAGGAAAGAAGGATCTACGATGGCTCCGCGACTTCTTAACCCGAGTCACCAGATAAGATGTGTTTCTATTCTTGCTATATGGAGGCCATAGACTTCTGTCGGAAGTGTGTGCTCAAACCACTTGGCCGAGTCCACACATGGGGCGTTGAACACCATGTTCGATGACACTAGTGTTGGAAGATTTGCCTTGAAGGGTTCGGAGACAGTCCAGGCAGCAGATATTCAGAGCTCAAGGGCAAGATTCTCTCAACATGCTCAATTACCTCAAACCATTCAAACATATTCAAACCATGAAGGGAATCGTGAAGGGCGGAATATCCAACATCCACTCCAACATCCACTCCAACATCCACTCCAACATCATCGTGTGTTAGTTGGAGGTGCACATGTTTCTTTCTTTCCATAGCAACGCTGTTGTGCCCCTGTTGTGCCCAGCAACGTATCATGTGCTTTCTCAAGCCATGAGTGAGTTCGAGGTGAAGCTGCTTGGGATCAGTGGCGAGGTTCGGACGGAGCTTCGGACCACGTTTTGTTGGAAGCCCCACGAGCTTCGCGGTTTGCGTTCGGACCCAGGCCCCCCCAAACACAGGGTGTTGCTACGGTAGCTGGTGCTCAGGAGCGATTAGCGACTCGGAGCAGGGAGGCAAGGAGTCGCAGAGAGTTCCCCAACCCCTTGCTAGACTGGGTTTTCGCGTTGGAGTCGAACCAGCGGTGAACACACACTTCTAGGAATGGCTTGTGACGGTGACACCGCACACAACTGCCAACAAGCTCCAGAGCCTAGCGGCGGAAGCGTTACAATGGAGCTTGGTGTCAAAGTTCTTTCTGGAGAGACTTGGTGACTTTGAGGATTTTCAAGAGTGGCCTCGAAATGAAACATCGATGCAGATCTGCAGTCCTTGATTTGGCAGTTCCTTGCTGCGTCCTGATGCGAAGGATAAGACGCTGGCGGGTCTGGACATCACTGGTTCATGCAAGTGATTGACACTTGGCAGCCTTCAGCAAGGTTCATGGTAAGTTGCGGGAGAACTTGCTTGGTGAGGCAGTCGTGAGTACTTCTCTCCAAAACATCGGCAGTTCAGAGACCGGCTGAGGCGCCGAGATCCCAGAGCTTCATCAAGACTCGCAGCCCTTGGTGTCCTGCGCCCACTGGTTTCCTCAGCTCGATGCAAAGAACCCACCCAACAAGGACATCAGAAACTTTCTGCCTGCAACTTAGTACAGCTCAGGTCATCAAAAAAAGATCGTCTCGTCCTGCAATCACCTGGCATCAGTTCGTATGATGACCAACACATGTGCCAAGGGAAGGAGGACGCACCGTGACGGGCAAAAGTGCTTTGTTTCTACTGGCGCACGCTCGGAGAGACAAGACACATTGGACCCCAGCAACCTTAAGCAAGATACATTGACAACCTTAGCGCTGCCTCCAGTGAAGTGGTGCAGACAGGTAAACCTTCAAATGATCGCGGCGATGGTGTTACTGACTGGCAATATGGGCCACGCGATCCACTCTCCACTCATTTGCTGTCAACGTGCAAGGGCAACGACGCGGTTCGTCCTATGGGGTCCCCCTATGTTATGGACCCATTTAAGAACTGCCTCACAATGCACACATACTCACGTATATAACCCTAACAACGTACCACGTACCATACATACATCCATACATACATACATGCATGCATACATGCATGCATACATACATACATATATATATATATGCATATACATATACATATACAAACACATACACATATACATATACATACACATACATACATACATACAAACATACATACATACATACATACAGACACACATACAGACATACGTACATACATACATACAGACAGACAGACAGACGTACGTACGTACATACATATACATATATATACATACATACATACATACACACATACATACACACATACATACATACATACATACATACATACATACACACATACATACATACATACATACGTCCACGCCATTATTACCACATCACAGCGAACCGCGCCGCTGCCCCCTCCCCCTCACAGAGTTTTTTCTGTACAACTTACCTCACACACACAACGCCCCAACAACCGACCGCCACGCCCCGCTCTCGCCGCGACGTCGCCGACGACAACAACAAAGAGGCGGGACTTTCCGACCGGGACAGGTGTTTTGGTGGAGGGTTGGAACAGATTTGCCAGAGCAATTTGACGCCCGAGCGTTGTTGCAGTTCATCCGACTGTTTTTTTTTCTCTCTCACGAGCAATGCCGTTGGTCTTTGCGATGGCCCGTGAGAATGGGATGATGGCGCTTGACGTCCCCGTTGGCCGGCGCTGACAAAGGAGGAGAAATTGAAGAACCCAAAAGGAAGCAGGTTGATGTGTGTGAAGGAGACCAGCGCTGAGAAAGACCCGAAGACCCGAAGGTTGGCTTTTTGGAGGCAATCCAGAAATTGGACGAGAACCAAATGACAAACGCCTTTGACAGCGTCAAGGGCGATGTCGGTGGAACGACGGAGAACAAGTTGAAGGCATTTCTCACATCTTGTTTGGGTCATGGCAGAGATTGCAGACCTCCATGGCATCACAGGTGGCATCTTGGAGATGGCAAACTTGACTACTTCCTTGCCTTGGCGTTTGACTGGGGCGTTGAGAAGCAGACCGTTTCACTGTCCTTTCTTCGCCCCGTCGTGCGCAGTCAGTTGGACAAGCGCATCGGGGCGCGTGAGGCGTCCCATACCAGCAGTTGAGGTAGTATGCGCCACCCCTTCTACAAAAGAAAGCGGTTGCGATAGGCGCATTCTCGTTTTGTGTGGGCGCAATTCCGTTCCGTGTGTGGGCACAAATCCGTTTTGTGTGAGTGCAAAAGCGATTTGTGGTGGCGCATCAAGCGGTGATTGCTCGGTCGATTTCAATACCTGACCGACGCAGAACATTGCAACCAGCGCCTTCCGTCTCGCTTGTGCAGTGTGGGATGGGTAAACACGGTGGGTGAGTATTCTTGTTGTTTGAGCGCGTCCATGCGGTTTTTTGAGACTTTCGATCGTTCCTTCAATGTTTGCGATGTCCGGTTGCGAGTGCTGACTGTATGTAACAATCATTCGGGCGCAAGACATTCAGATAGAGAGACCTTGACCTCAGACATGGAGGCGGTTGCAATGGAGTTGGCCGCGTCCTTGTCCCCTCGCGCACAGCGAGACTTGCTGGAATACTGCAACTCGAAAATTCAGGAGATGGAGGGGGAGTTGGTGTTGTTGAGGAGGAAAAGAGGCATCCTTGAAGACCTCGTAGCGAGGAACCGAAGGCGTGAAGGCGATGAACGCCGTGAAGCCTTGAAAGTGTCCCAGAACCGGAGGAGGCGTTGTCTGTTTCACACGGCGCTCTGGCGCCGGAACTGTGACTAGAGACAAGAGAGAGACCGCAAGAGTTGAGGGATGCGTGGATGGTAGGAGTAGGGACAGACCCAACATGTCGTTTTCGCCAACATGCCTTGTTCCCCCCACTTCCCTTCGCGCATCCGCCCCGCCACAGGTACTCTACCACAACGCGACGCTCACAGAACCTCCACACCTTCCTCCGGAACACCGGCTACAAGCAGGGGCGATACGACCGGGTCGTGCGTCCGCGTTTTTTGTAGTTGCAGGATATATATACATAGGATTATAAGTGTAGCAATATTTATGATCGTATTTAGTCCTTAGATGTTGAAACAAAGTTTTCAACTTCCGCCGGCAACAAAACTTCACTAACCAGATCTTCCGAAAATCTGTA